ATAGTCCGCATTATGTTAAGTATGGAAATTTTCAAAGTCCCATATATGATCTCTTTGGGCAAAACTTAATATAACCTGCACACCGTTGGAAAGGCCATTAATGGAGGATTAATTCTGTCCTAGTTTCATTTTTTCAAAGGGCATGGTTTGCCCACAGTGGTCTTTTAAAATTTGCTTATATGTTAGCCCCCATTATGTTAAGTATGGAAATTTTCAAAGTCCCATAAAAAAATTTTTGGGGCAAAACTTAATACAACCCGCACACCGTTGGAAAGGCTATTAATAGAGGATTAATTCTGTCCTAGTTTCATTTTTTCAAAGGGCATGGTTTGCCCACAGCGACATTTCAAAGTTTGCTTATATGTTAGGCCCCATTATGTTAAGTATGGAAATTTTCAAAGTTTCATAAAAAAATTTTTGGGGCAAAACTTAATACAACCCGCACACCGTTGGAAAGGCTATTAATAGAGGATTCATTCTGTCCTAGTTTCATGTTTTCAAAGAGCATGGTTTGCCCACAGTGGTCTTTCAAAGTTTGCTTATATGTTAGCCCGCATTATGTTAAGTATGGTAATTTTCAAAGTCCCATAAAAAAATTTTTGGGGCAAAACTTAATACAACCCGCACACCGTTGGAAAGGCTATTAATAGAGGATTCACTCTGTGCTGGTTTCATTTTTTCAAGGGACATGGTTTGGTCACAGTAGCTCCATAAACTTTCGCTTTATCAACCTCATTTATGGCATAGTGTAAAAAAGTTTTGGTTTCGAATATTAGTTAATTTACATAAAGTCATGTTTTGTTTATAAGAATTTGCAAAAAAATTTGCAAAAACTTCTATTTTACTTGTATTTTGATTTAAATCCCTCCGAGACTTCGTTTAACTGAATTCTGTTAACGGCTTTACAGAGCTCTGTAAAAAATTTTAGTTTGTGTCTTTGCTAGTTATATTTAAATATAACTTCACACCCTTTTGATTTTATTATTTAAAATGTTCTTATATAGTAAAAATAAGGTTAATAAAATGCCTGTTGTAGCGTTAAATCAAAATAGTGTGATTTCAGTTATGCCTGCAATAAATGCTTACACTAATATTATTAATGTAATGAATGCCTATGCTATATATGTATATATATATTCTTCATAAATAAAATGAAAATAATGCATAACAGATAAAGAATTAAAGTGGAGCGATATCGCATGATACTTTGCATTTACGTAATGTCACCACATAGCAATTGCGCGCAACACCTTCACATGGCGATCCTGTCACATCTTCCTCTGGAATCCTTTTCTGTGCTACTTTTTTTCCAGAACCCTTTTATTCAAAATTAATTCTATTTTACCAAACAGCACCGCCAACCATAGAAATTCTGAATTCCGAGAATATTGCACATATATTAATGGAGAAAACAAACCCAAAAAAAAACTAATTATAGAAGAATATATAAAACGCCCAGAAACAAAAGAAAATCTCCTCTTTGCTTGTCTCCTTGCGTCCACACTGGCTCCGATTACATACGTTTCGTAAAATTAATTTTACTGTTTAGAGTCTATTTATTTTACAATATTGTTGATTACTGGATTTCCTATCTTGGTTTTCGAGTTTGCAATGGTGCTTGAATGTGGAGGCAAATATGTTTGTCATATTTTTGTTAACTGGTTTTAACGAAAATTTACCGAGCTTGAGGACCTTCCAAATGTCTAAGTGCATGTTATCGTTTCGTGTCTTCCGGATCTTTTTTGCGTTATAACCAATTTTTTTGAGGTTGCTATCGCTTTTGATTTTTTTCAGTATGTCATTATAGCTTATGTCTCCAGTTTTCTAGATAATGATTGCTTCCGTCTTATGCGGCAGTTTTAATTTACCTTTACGTTACGTAGTTTGATCTACTATGTGTCATATGTAGTGCATTTGTTTTCCTTAGATTTTGCCTCACTTCCCTTAGCTACATTTTTAGTACTGACCAGGTTTGAGTGTTTGCGTGCTTCCGTTTCTTGCTGACTTTCCAGGCTGTCTCTGCACTGAACTCAGGGCGGTAATCACGTCAGCGGGCGATCCTCGTCGTGATTATCGCCTGGATTTTTTAGAAGAAATAATTAATTATTTGCAAGAGGCTATCTAAACACCATCGTTGCCAGCTTTCCAATACTTCTTCTTAAAATTACCATTACAATGCATTAATAACTAAGAGAAACATAAAAAATGAGAGCCAAGTTGACGTTTATTTGTTTTGTACAAACTACGTATGGTAAACAAGAACAAGCATGCAAATGAAATGAGCAGAAAATTATGTAGGATTTGACAATCAAAAGAAGTAATAATGTTAAATCTAGTGTTCACGCCTGCAAGTTTTTTATTCCAGAAAGGGTTAATTATTGCATATTTATTTTTACAGATTTTCCATAAAAATGAATGTTAACAATCCTGTGATAATATGTTAGTGATTAATTCATACAGTTGATGTCTTCTTCATCGTTAATTAAATTTTATCTTCTATTCCTATATGCCACATTTCTTTTTCTTTTATACCCATATATGAACATATAAAAAGTTTTACTTTCAGTATATATTTAATTTTTATGTAAATTTTTGTACCAGTTACAAGTTTAAACAATATTTATATTTTTAAGGTTGTTATGTTTATAAACTTCCTCAAACTTGCTCATCCAGCGGTCTCAAATCAGGTGCCTTCACAAAAACATCAAAATTGTCATCATTATAGATCGCCTGGAGTCCTGAAGTGATATCCTTTCACTTCGTCCCACCTTCTTTGGGCTGTACCAGCCATTTCACTCTTCTTGTAACATACGCCAGCGACCTAGAAGAATGTTCAAAAGCTGTAGATATTCGAAATATTAAGTATTCCTCCCCTTGCAATGGATTTTGTTCTATTTTTTTTTTAGAAGATCTGCAAAATTCGATAGTGTCATCGACCAAGGCTCAAGAGGGTATCTAGTATCAGCTGAAAAAAAAATTACAAATATGTAGCTTTTTTGGTGCTTTAATATTTCTTTGTGTGGCTTACCGTGCAGCCAAGCATTGCTATTCTGCTTTGTCCAATGGTTTTCTAGGTATGCTCATGTGTGGAGTGCCTCTACATTTGCAAATCTTGTCAAGATCTGAGAAATTTTACACCTTTAACATTTACTACATAAAATCATCACAATTATATATAAATATTTTATTCATATTGAAAAAGTTCAAATCTGCTCAACTTGATCATACCTTTAGGTAAACATTTCTACTTATTTCATCACCTCTTACCCCACTTTCGTCTCTTAACGAGTTGCAGTAAAAGACAAGAGTGTAAACTTTGTAGAGCTTTATTTGCCTTTTTTTGCTACAGCCTTAATAAGCGTGGTCTTCAATAGAGTCTACTCATGTTGACAAATTTATTGGCGATTGTTGCTAAATGGGCTCTCTCACTCTTTTAGCGTTGCATTTGCAAAAACAGTTGAAAAAGAAAAACATAAACAGCTGTTAGAATGAATTATTAATTCAAAATTTAAAAAAAATTAAAAATATAAAGTGTGTCCGAAATTATATTTGTGAATACTCAAAAAAGAGAACAAATATGGTAAAATCTTCATTTTTCTTTTTAAATATCGAGCAAAATTAAGTAACGTTGACTAATGTGACCAGTTTCCAGCGCAACGTGTCGTAAGTTCTTATGCTTGTTCATTGAAGGGGAGAAAAATGACAACCGCGACGCAGAAGAAAGAATTGCCACGAGATGGGCGAGAAAAGCTTTGCGTGTAAGTACATGTTTTCTAATGTTTACAAACGACGTATAAATATGTGTTGTAGAGTTGCATGTAGGTATATGCAGAAGTTCTCCGTTACCAAAGCGCCTTTTCATTACATTCTGGAGAAAATTGGTATGACCGGCGATATGAGGAGTACATATATACCACCGTTGTTGCGCTTAGCCATGACATTAGAGCTGTTGGCGTCCGCAGGTTTCTAATGACTGTTCTGCAGAGACCATTGTATCAGAAATATTACAAGAGTTGGAAACAAAACTTCTAAATCTCTCTAATATGATAGTGAGTACACCCTAGAGCCTTGGCTGATGACAGCTTACCGAAGTTCGACGGGTCCCCTAAATAAAATAGAAGGAAATCCGTTGCAAGGTGAGTAACATTAAACATTTCTCTAGGTTGCTGGCGTATTCTACAGGAAGAGTGAAAGGGCTGCTAGAGCCCAAAGAACCTTGGAAGAATCACAAACATTTGTGCCGCGCTACACAACATTTACGTCCGCGAAAAATTGGGGGGAGAACATTTGGATTCTCCAGTACGCCAGGCAACTTGTGAAGATGATGATGTTGATGTTTGTGTGGAGGCATCATAATTGAGGCAGTTGGGTGAACAAGTTAGAGAATTGCTGCAACCAAGTTTATAAACATAACAATCCAAAAAATATAAATAACGCTTAAACTTGTAACTCGCACAAAAATTTACATAAAAGTTACGTAAATACTAAAAGTAAAACTTTTTATATACCTGATCTTTTTATATGTCCATATATGAGCATAAAAGAAAGGAAGATTTGGAATACAGGAATGAAAGAGATAATTTAATATAACGATGAAGAAGACATCAATTGTATGAATTAATCGCTAACAATATATTATCACAGAACTCTTAACGTTCATTTTTATGGAAAATCTGTAAAAAGGAATATGTAATAATCAGATTTTTTTGTAATAAAAACCTAAAAATTTGAACACGGTCCTTAACTGTATTAATTTTTTCAATTGTCATATTCTACATAATTTTCTATTCGTTTCATTTTAAAATGCTTGCTACTGTTTACTGTGCTCTCATTTTTTGCGTTTCCTTTAATTATTAATGCATTGTAATGGAAAATTTAAGAGGAAGTATTGGAAAACTGGTGATGACGGTGCTTGAGTGGCCTCTTGGCGATAATCAATTGTCTCCTAAAAGGTGAATAAATAATCATGCATCAATGCAATAATATTATTGATAGTTATGTGAGAACTTTCTTAATTGCCAAATTATATGAGGGAATTCTACGTACGTACAATAAATACAAGAATTTTCTTATTGCATGGTTAAAAGATTACTTCATTTAAACAGCTACTAGAGAGCCATTGCTTGAAAGTCACACAATTTATAAAGAATGCCGAGTTAATTTAAATATGTGTATTTAAGTAAATTTAAAAAAAAAAAACACATTTTCGTATGTAATAAGTTTTAAATAGATTATGAACACCTAAAGCAAACAGGAATAGGCAATGTTGGCCGTAAAGTGAACCTTAAATACCTGCCCGCAAATTGTGGACGTGTTAGCTAGGCTAGCATTATTTTTCTACCTGGTATCCTAAACATTATAACTAAACATGGATATCAAAGCTGATAAGGTCGAGGATAAGCATTAAAGCTAAGAACAATTCAGATGAGTAACATGGATGACATGCAAATATCGATGCGCGTAATTAGGTGACAATGAGGAATAAAATGGACACTGAAACTCGTGAACTTGTTAGGACACCTTTTTGTATTTAGAAGTCGAATGAATCAATGTAATTTGTCGACAGCATAAGCGTAAGGAAAACGTACACCTTTCAGAACGCAACGGGAGATCGCTGAAGTATCTATTCCTAAACAATCGCATGCAAATAACAATGAAAACACGGCTTTCGAATTCCGGTAATATGAGAGTGCTAAGAATCCCTAAAACTAAAAATACGTTAAATATTGCAAGGCAGAACGTATGAAGCAGGAAAATTTCACAACAAAGTCCAAGGAATGAAACACCTAAACATTAATGTTCTTGGCGTAAGCGACACGTGGTGGTCGAAGTCTGAACAATTTCAAGCCACAACCTGTAAGATGTACTATTCTGGTAACAATACGAATCAACATAAACCTGGAGTTGGTAGTATTGTATCTAAAAAGTACGAGAAATTCATTGAACAATTAGTTCCCTACTCCGATAGAGCAGTATTACTTAAAATTAATACAAAACTTAATAAAAATCAACATTATTCAAGCGCGAAATATTCTACTCAGGGCTTACGGAAATACTAAAGCTAACAAACGACACGATCTGAACCTAAGAGATTTCAATGCTAAAGTACTTGTACTTGAAATTGTTGGCATGTCTGCACGCACTACCAGCAAGTGACAAATTCAATGTAATGTGTGATGCGGTGGATACAATTTGTTTTTATCTTTTTGTCCTTGGTATGGAAATAATCGTTTATGAATAATTTAGACGTAAGAATAAATCTATAATATTTGCAAATAGGAAGGTGTAGGGAATTGGATCATATGTCTTATGTTTGCCAAACATGTCAAATTAAATAGGATTTGTGATTCACTCTTAAGTTTAACAAAAAAAATATCATGTTCGACACGAGTTGATCACTAACTTGCACGAAATACTTGATTATGAAAAAGAGCAGATATATCGACTATGTACCACATCGTACATATTGTAATAATTGCAAATAATGTGTTTTTATTGCTCGGCTACACTTCAATCACGTTTGCATTTTTTTTTTGAAATTTTAGGGTAATTAATCGATTTTTTCTATATTTGAAGGCATCATAAAAAATAGTTAAAACCTTGATCGCTTGTCTAGACCAAGCTTTAAGGTCTAGTCATGAGTTTGGTGTAAAAGCAAACCATAGAGAGGCGTATTTAAAGCAATTAAATGTACAGATCAGCAATATTTGCACATACATGTGCTTTTTGGATCTTTTTTTTTTCGGCATGTTGAATGGAGATGGACTAAGCCAATAGATTTGTGGCTTATATGTCCAGATAATAAACTGTCGTGATTTTTGGTCACAATTATGTACAAAACGTAACAAAGAAAAGAACGGCCGTAATAACTGGAGCCAGCATGTTAAGTGTAATTGTGTGTGTGTGTGTAATTGTGCTTGTTGAGTTCTTGAAAATCAAACAGTGTTGCAAACTTTGGCTGAAAACGAAAAGGAATGCTGTGGTAATAGAAGATGATTGAACGCAAAAACAAAAGAAAAAGCAAAAAAGGAAAGAAGAGGAAAAAAACAAGTTAGTTCCCCGAGATGACGTACATTTTTTGCTGCAAAGAGATCGAGGAGACAGCCATATAACTTGAAGAAGCTGAAGGAATCTCTAATGCCATCAAGCCTGTGACATCTGAAGATTAGATGCTCAGCAGAGTCAACAACATTGCAAACTTCACAAACATCACATGGTATAGCACGAATCACTTTTAAATAAACTTTGTCATAAGCGTGACCACTCATGAGTCTATAAAGAATTTTGATTTCCCAGGAATTAAAAGAAGATACAGAAAAGGGTTTGAATTGCAAAACAATTTTCATCTTTCAGAAAAACTTCACTTAAGATGCAGAAATCAACCTTGTTTGAGTTTAAGAAAATCCAAAAACGATAGGTTTGAATATTGAACTTTGAATATTATATTGTAAAAAGGATATCATGTTGAAACTTGAGAAAGAACCCCAGCGGATTTCCTCGTAGTACTGGGTGTTTGAACGGGACAAGAAAAGGGCCAGACAGACATTTTTTCTTCAAATTCTTTAATAAGATTATGAGGGATCATTGGACGGATACCTTCACGAATCGCGAGCATTAATCTTTCAAGTTCTGAGGACCGCAAATAGTGGTTTGCAATTATTGGACGCCGAAGACTTGTTTCAGACGGCTTGGAAGGTGAATTGAGAGAAGGCTTGGTGGGTAAACTGAAGGAACCGATTTCCTTTTGACGACATCATTATATTTACTTTTGGTTAAAATTTTGTTGGCGTTTTGATTATCATCCTTGGTCGAAATGGCAGACGCCTTCCCCAATGGAGGGAAGTTGTCGTCATAAGAGATGTCGTCAAGACATTCGAAATAATTTGCGGAAAAATTCTCTTTTACCTCTTTATACGAGAGATTTTTAATTGCCATGATCCTTTTAACGGCTCTAGCTCTGCTTGTCGGTAGAGCGATTTAATATTATGAGGCTTAGCTTTCTGAGCCGCATGACAAAGAAAGAAAAAAGCGCACAAAAAGAGAAAATATTTTATGTCGGTAGTCTGTCGTTCGCCCGTCTAGAGTGAGTCCGTCTGTATTTGTCCTATATCCCCATACGGTTCCCCCACGCGTGCACGCCCCCTACATCGCACTCCTGCTACAGCAGTGCATGTTCGGCCTTAGCAGCTCATTGTGGCTCACAGGAAGTTCGGGACAAAACAAAAGGGAAAGGTAAGTACCTGACTAATATGTGTTGGTTCTCCCAAATGACGTCGTGACCCCCGCTGTAGTGCTGGCGGCCTCTGTGATAGTCGCTGCTGATATGTGCTGTTCGCTGCTGATGAGACGTGGCATAAATCTGTGGTTGAAGAGGGTGATGAGGCACGGGAACACAATTTGGTTCGTAGTTATCCCGTGGCGAAT